TGGCACTGCTCAAATCCTCAAGTATACACACTGGAAGTTCTAAGCTAGCTGCTTTCCTCTTGTTGATCTTTTCTAATCCTCTGGCCCAATATAGGGCTTAGAGAAGCATGGAGATAATCTTGAGGGTAGGGCCAACAGCAATATGCAAAAATCTGCTTAGAGCTCCCTGAGAGGAACCTCAGAACATAATACACTGCGACACAGTGGTGGGCTGTTTGTGTCGTTACAGGAAGCACAAATGAGGGACAAGCAACCAATACGTTAGAAATCACAGGACTGTTTCTCTTCTATTTGGTTCATTTCACTTTGAGAATGAGAGAGCAGTTCCATGCCAAAACCTACAATCTGCAAGGGCAGAAACGACAGAGCTCTTGCTTCTTGTGATTCAGGGCATACTTGGAGGTTTGGCTTTTGAAGGTCAGTGAACACAGAATGGGGCCTTCTGTCTTGAGACAAGGAGTAGGGAACAGATCAGCTTTCCCAGGACGAGGGAATTAAAACCGAAGTTGCTGGAGCCAGCAAGAGTTGCTGAAGACAAGCCAGAGTCCTGCTCCAAAGTTGATCCCAACGTAGCCATTGGTGGCCTTTTCCCAATCCAGCTCCTCTCCCATTCAATAGGAACTGCATCCACAGTGGAAGATCACAAAGGAATTTGCATTCTTACTTTAGCTAACTGCAAGGAAAGCACTTGGCACATTTTAGCAGTATGAGCCTCTTGAAACATAACACAGGAAGAGCACCTGGGAAAACTAAACTTTAGGGTCATAAAGTATTTCAGCCATTTAGATGGGGACTTAGGAAAAAATATTATTGTTGGCACTAGTTTTGGTAAAAATAAATCTCAATATATTCTTTGCCTGACATTTTATGTGAATCCATGATGCTTTTGATTGGATTATGTAAAAAAGATCTAATTTGAGTTGTTATTAAAAATTCTGAAATATAAGAAAAAAAAAAAAACTACTCTTGGGCTTAGAACATACTCCCAAACTTCTAAGCTATATGCCGACACACGGCATTGTCCCATTTGACAGTGCTATATTTACTGCCTGAAATGACGATGCTCTGGGTGGTTATTTTTCATGTAGGAAGTCACACCAACACCCCTGAGCCACCTGCATATATCTTAAAGCGAACTTTTCCCCTACCAGAAAATGATTCTGTTTAAGACTTTTCAAAAAGGAGATCTTTAATGTCAAGGTGTTATAAAAAGATAAAACACGCACTGCACATGTTCGCAGCCTCCTGCCCAGCGGGGCCATGTGCTCAGACATTGTCGAGCCACTTTCATTACTGGAGAGCCTGATAAATGCCCCACCACTGGTGGCCCGGAGATTCTGTTCAGACTCCTACTGTGAACTCACTCAGCTACAGAATAGCACCATATGGCTTTAGCAATATTATTTTTTTTTCTAATTTTTCAATTACACTTTTTTTTTTTCTAAGGAGTTAAGGAGCCCATGGTTTTAACTGTAACCCTCCACTGCTTGCATAAAATTATGTGGATTAGAGTCAGCTTCTGAAAACTGCATAGGGATGAAGAGGGCCTGTTCTCTCAGCTTTTCCATCTGGAAGTCTTGGTCTCCTCAACCACAAAGACAGAAGGTCAGGATTAAAGGCTCCCTCTCAGTTTTCCTAGTTCCCACGTTCTACTCAAAATGGGGTGCAGAGTGGTCCAGGCCTCTTACACATCCTGGGATTTCTGAGTTTTGTGTCATCGTCCTGAATGACCCTTTATCATCTTTAAGGGAAAAATCTAAATAGCTAAAAAGTCCAGTTTAAAATCTGTGATCCCAAAACCTACTGGTAAAGGTGACAGTCAATCAGAGCCCCTTTCTTTTGCAAATACATCTAATAACTTTCGATTGCTATCACTGATTCCTTAACAGAAAAATTTACACAAAGCACAGAGAGATTTGTGATGAACCAGTGACATTAACAAATAATGCAGATATGCTTCAATGCCTGCATGCTAAACTTACAAAGGGAGACTGGGAAGACTGCAAGATAAGAGATTCTTTACACAAGTTGTAGCTTGGAGTTTGCAAAAGCCCCTTTGTACAAAGAAGGTCCATGGGGGCACTTAGCTTTCCTGGCATCTATCCACTGTGAAGGGAGGCACTTCTATAGCGCACTTGCTCTGACATCATATACATCACAGAGTTACTGAAATTGTGTTAAGAAAAAGGTATAAATTATAAGTAAATGAACAAATACATGTGCTAGGCGTTTAGTTGATGATTAATACCAAAACAACAACTTGAGTAATTAGATTTTGAAAGTAATTCATGCGAAAGCAATCGCAAGTAAAATTTGGAATCTGCTGCTTGATTATTTAATTTCTTCCTCCTGCCCTGATGATAAATCAAAACATTCTCAAAATTGTTGGCACAGTACAAATTGAATTAAAAGATTCCTAGAGAATTTGGATCAACAACGAAACAGGTTAGTTCTGTTGTCATTGTTCGGTTGTAAGAATCCTGTTGTAAATTAGGAAGATTTGAATTACGGGGCTATTAATGGAGTTGTTAGAAAGTGTGTTTCCAGAAGAAAATTAGTGCTTTGGGAGCAATTTAAGAAGTTATTATAGAGTTTTGCAGCATGTCTGTTACTTTTTTTAAAAATAATTTTTATTGTTTTTTGATACAATTTAGTTGGCGGTGGGCTCTCCCCTCCCCTTCGTTCTCTCTAGAATCATATAATATGTGTCCATTGTGAATTTTCCCAAGTCCATCATGCTTCCAGTGGAATATCTCCCAGCCATGCAGAATAAGTTTTCATTGTAGGTTAATTCTTGTATCCTGGGCCCCTAATATAGGTACAGTGTGGATTAGGCCTTTGTTGTTTATGGGCCGTATCAATAACAGTTATATATGGACACTTGACAATTACAGGTGATTATAAACAATCCACCTCTTGTGGATGGTTAATTAATGAATTACACCACAAGTTACATTAGGTATAAGTAAGTATGAAGTAACATTGATTAACACAGAGTAAGATTCACATATGATATCCCTAGATTTGACATCATATTATATTATGTTAGAGCAAACATATGATATCTAATCTTTTTGGATTGGCTAATTTCCCTTAGCATTATGGTCTCTAGTTTGGCCCATTTGGCCACAAAGTGAATGCAGGCCACTATGGAAGTCAGTATGGAGAACACTTAGGCAATTAAAAATTCACCTACCATATGATCTAGCAATACCACTTCTAGGAATATATCCAAAAGACTTGTTATACAACAAACCAACATGCACCCCAATGTTTATAGCAGCACAATCAACAATCGCAAAAACTTGGAAGCAACCTAAATACCCATCAACAGAGGACTGAATAAAGAAACTGTGGTTCAGCTACACTACGGAATACTACTCGGCGATTAAAAAAAAAAGAAAAACATGTCAGTTACTTAACACTTCCTTGATACAGTAAGTGTCCCCATGCGATGTGCTGTTTGCACCTCTGTCTTCTGGGCTAGACTGAACCCTCGGTAGGTAGGGACCATGCCTTGCTTACTTAATCTTCGTCAGAGGAAAGCACTGCTTTATGTACTGCGGATGTGCAACAGGTGAGGGTACTGAATAATTTCCTCTAAGCTTCCACATCCTTTCTACCACTGTGTATCTACAAGTCCCTTGATACCTGCTGTCCCCTTGAAATCTTCTGAACCACTCGGTTGAATCCAGCACTCTTCCTTCCTAAATCCTTACTCACTAGGGTGCCCACAGCCTTCTCTTCAAAGATATCAGAACATGATTCCCTCAATCTTTCTTTGAATGTATTGTGGTAGCTAGCACTGTGAATTCAAAGCCAGAGATTTAATCAATTCAGAATTTTATAAAGAGAACTAAAACTTTGAGAGATCAAGTGGTGTAACGGTTTTCACTGAGGTATCTATTGCCTACTGAAAGCATCCTTAATGTAGGAGAAAGCGTTTTATGACTTTATCAAAATGGTTGTATGTGCTGAATGATTTATAATCATGTCCTGTGTAACAAAGAATTATCCGTGTCCCGAAGTTTCCTGCCCTTGTGAATGACTGTTTAAAAAATGAGTGTATGTGTGCATATGATTATGTAATCCAATATCACTTCATTGGAATTCTAGAATTTATTTCAGTTTTCAGGATTTACCTTCTATATAAATTGAGGGAAGATGGTATTTTCTGGTGTCAGAACGTGACAAAATTTTTCACAGTGTGGAAAATTTGCCCATTACTGTATGGACAATCATACAGTTATGATATTGCAGTTTGATTCCATGTATATACTTGCTGAATTCTTGCTTCGCATGTCAAATACACGGCAATGGTATCTACAATATTTAGCTGACTCAATTTCTTTTGAAAGAAGAAGTTACTTATTCTAACTGGTCACTTTATTAAGCTTCCAATTTTAGTTACTATTGCACTTAATTAATTCAAATTTAGGTTTGTAGTTATACTATCTCTATATTTTATTTTAGAATTTGCTATAAAATGATGCACTGAGTCAGGTAGTGTGGAAAACCCTTGCTTTCATTATGGAAGACTACATTTCATCATTTCATGTAAAGCAGTGCAAGTTAACACAGTGTGGACTCCTTTACCTAAATGTAAATATTTAACAACATTTTGTCACCAATTATTCTTCTCTTCCTCCAAGTGAATTGTAGCAAACGTGCCTATGAAAGAATATTTCTTGAAACTAGAATTTCCATTTTCATGATGATCCAAATATACCAGAAAAACGTCTTTCTGGTGTAAAAAGAATCCTCTGACTTGGTCTAGGGACAGAGAAACATCGATTCCTCAGCTTCCTTGTCTTGCCCCTGCCCTGTCACCCCTGCCCCAATCTTGGCTTCAGGAAGACTGACTAAACCCTCACATGTTGAAGCAGCAGCACTTCTCAGCCCCAGCAATACCACAGGGGCGTTGTCTGCCCCGACGGAACTCCCTCTGAGGTACTGTCTTCTATTTCTTCTCCAAACAACTCTCCTTAAGAGTTACTGACCTGTGACCCCTCGAAGGACCTTTGAAGGTTCCTCGAGGATGGAGATCTTCTTCTCCCGAGGAACAAGGGCAGGTTTCTCGCTGGCAGAATCAGTGGATGAGCTGTCCTTCTCACAGCCGTTCAGGTGGCCATTCTGTAGCTGAGGGGGCTGTGGCTGCAGGGCCCCTGCTTCCGGCCTCTCTGCCTTGTCCTTGGCATCCTTGTTGTTTTGATGCTGCTTGGATTTGCTTCTTTTCCTTTTATTGTTCTAGAATAAGAGACAAATAAGAAAATAATATTCTTTAGCTTGGACCCGCTCTTGAAATAGAAGGTAAATATGAGAAATGAAAATATAATATTATTTCCTAAATGGTTCTTGGCATTTCTTACCAAATGCATAAGAACACTTACATCTTTATCAACCACCCAAATTGATTTAAATGCCTTCTTCCTACAGCAGGTCATCTCAGCTTTTAACTCATAATTAATAAACAAAAACAGTTTGATTAAAAGGAAAATAATAGGGCCCCAGCATGATAGCCTAGTGACTAAATCCTCACCTCACATCTGCCAGGATCCCATATGGGCGCCCGTTCATGTTCCAGCAGCTCCACTTCCCTTTCCGATCCCTGCCTTGTAGCCTGGGAAACCAGCAGAGGATGGTCTAGGGCCTTGGGACCCTGCACCTGTGTGAGAGACCAGGAAGAAGCTCCTGGCTCCTGGCTTCAGATCAGCTCAGCTCTGGCTGTTGTGGCCACATGGGGAGTGAACCAACAGACAGATCTTTTGGTCTCTCCTTCCCTCTGTAAATTTGCTTTTCTAAATAATAATAATAATGATAATAATAATAATAATAATAAACAAGTCTTAAAAAGAAAGGAAATAATAGCAAGGAACATAATATTTGAGCAACTTGTAGCTCCACATACACTTGAATAGCAGTATCATTCATGATAACAACTTTGGAATAACATGAATTCTCTGGTGCTTGGAGAAGACTCTTGCTTCTTAACGTGGTGATGAAGTTGGGGCAGGTGAGAAGGACACTCTTCTCATTTTGGGGGGAGGAGGGCACTAGTAAAAAAAAATGGTACAATTCTTTCTTGTGAGGTCAGGAATGCCAGTCCCCATTGTTCAGGCTGGGTCTCTGACACAGGCCCCAGCCAACCAGGAGAGTTCCTGAACTCCTGTCACTGTCCAGGAAGCTCCAGTATCCTCGAATGCTTCCACAAGATTGAAACTGGAACAGACCATTGTTGCAAACTAATGGCAAACTGGCCCTTTCTTGAATGGCTGGACTGGGCTGCTGGTGGTACACTATTACAAGGTATCATTTGGTTTACTTTAAAATCACATAACTGCCCCCTACCCTTTTTAAACACAACTGCAAGTTTTTAGGTCGCAATGCTACAATATATCCTATACGGCTCCTAAACACCTGATGGTGAACCTGTAGTTGTCCTTTGGTGTCTATAGGGAATTAGTCCAAGAACTCTTAAGGGTAACCAAAGTCCCTTGTACTGAACCTATGCACTTCATCTGGTACGTTTTAAATCATCTCTAGATTACTTAAAATACTTAATAAAGCATAAAGGCTCTGCAAATAGTTACTATATTGTACATTTTAAGCAGTAATGGCAAGGGAGAAAGGGCTAGACATGTTCAGGACAGATACATTCACCGTAGGCCTCACTGTATTTTCAATGCAGTATTGGTTGAGCCTGAAACCGTAGAATCTACAGGTATAGAGGCTTACTGTGCACAACATTTAGGAGAGATGTTGCTAACCACGTTGCATGTGGTACCTGAGTTCAGTTTTGTGTCCAACTGACATTCAAGCGTACTTAACAATCAGTATGCAGGAGGCCTCAGTGGATACAGAAGGCTAGCCCTCCAGGAAGAGCCTGTCCCACCTGCTGAATTGGTGAGTACCAACTGAATATCAACCTGACTTTGTTCTTCAAACAAATTCATCAAAGAAATAAAAAGAAACTGCTTCCTCCTGTTGACCCTCCTCCCTCCTCCTTTTCTTTTCCTTGGAAACCACAGCCATCCCCACCACTGTCCTGGGGGTAGGAAAGGCCCGGGGGGCCCCCAGCACCAAACAACACCCCCAGCAGCTTCAGGTTTCCAAGCTCCATGTCTCCAGAATGAGGATGCAGACAGTTCTCCTCTGAAGGAGGACACTTACCCATGAGTTGTGTGTGTGGCCAATGCTTACTATCCCACATCAGAGAATTTCAGACCCCAAGGCATGTCCGCACAGTTCCCCTACAAGTGTAAATACTGCCTTCCCCTCACAGGCAAATCAACCTCACTACACAGAAACCAGGGAGCTTTGATTAAAGTGGAGGAGAGCTCACCAGAGACGGTGGCATCCAAAGGTTACAGAAACATCTCCTAATTCTTCTTCTTTGTGGAACTGGGAGAGATAGGGCAAAGGACTACTCTAAGTCATTTCAGTCATCTTGGGATTCTATAGACAGTAACAGTGGCTTCTTGTTTCTTCCCAACATGTTTCCCAGGCCCGAGATCTGCCTTCAGGGACAGGGGTAGGCTGGTGAACAGGAACTGGCAGGGACATGACAGCTGTGGGCAGGCCTGGTTACATACAAGAGCAGAAGAGATACACTGCATGGGCTCCTGGGAGTCCCTCTGGGTCCAGACCAGAGGGCAGGTTAAGCTGTATCTCAGGGAGGACAAGGCCAGCACTCAGGAAGGCCCTGGACCCACTAGGCCTGGCGAAACAGGCTGCTCTTTCCTTCTTTCATTAAAAATTCACCTTAGAATTCAGCACAAAAAGATTGGTTCTGGAAGCTGTGGATACCGTCTCCCATTTAAGAAAAAACATGTGAAAATACAGTTAGAGCTTTTCAAAGTCTCTTAAATGCTGAATTTTTTTTTTCTTTACTTTGTGTTACAGGATATGTTCAGGCAAGTTAATACCTTGAATCCTTTTAAATTGCAGGCTGGGCTCCCCGTAATACTTAAAAATCAAAACAACTGAGAGCTGTCTTAAGTACACCTGGTGGTTAAAAACAGTGAATAGAAATTAAGGGTGAGAGAGAGAAACAGAGAAAGAGAGAGGCTGGTAGTTTAAGAAAGTCAGGAAATCTGAACGTTTTCTGGGTAGGCATATTAACATATTTAAAAGAAGCATAAATTTAACAGCCTTGTTAAAATGATAACCATGAAGGCTCTGATTGAAGATTGAGTAATTTACAGCCAATGTTAATCTTACCTTCTTTTTTCCTGTCATATTCCATTCTTTTAGAACTTGAATTGCACTCCCTAGATAAAGATAAAGAATCTTCAACAAATATTCACAAAATAAAGCAGCACACAGAATTCATCTCTGTCTTTCCATTTTGGTAGTAATTTCTTTTCTTCTTGCTTTTTCATTTGTTTTGATACACCCCACCTTAATAAAAATGCCACTTCCATTTCTTATTTCCCAGATTTTCATTTAATTTACTGCATGATCATGGTTTTATCAAAATATTAAGCTCCACTCCACGAAGCTTATTTTTTTATCATTATATTGTCTTAGGGAAAATGAAATCTATCTTCAGAATTTTCTGACAGCTTTGTTGCCACAGGTAGAATTAAGATTATGCTGCTTGATATATGAATAAAAATGTCTATGATACGCTGAACTAAACATGAGATTCTGATTATTATTAACCATACAATCTACAGCTTTTTGTATGGCTATCCCTTCTTTTTTGCCTTGACTCACTATGTTAGAAACTTGTAGTGGGATGAGGAAGACAGCTTCTGGGATATTACTTCTTCCCGTTGGTCATAGATAGCGATGGGATACATTCCTCACAAGGCTTTTACATTGAAACAGAGGAAGTTCATTATAAAGGTGGGTCCTAGGTTCCCTCCATCCCATGTCCACGGACTCAGAGGACAAGTCTAACCTGATTTATATTTAAAGAACTAAGTTAGCACTAGGCAGCTACATTCAATGTTTCTACTACCTAGTCTAACAACGTTCGTTCATTCATTCCAACTATGCTGAGTGTAATTTCAATAAGTACATCAATTGGCATATAAATAGGTAATTGTAAAAGAAACTAGATCTCTTAAATATGTTCTTTTAACAATTTTAAGCTTTCTCTCACAATCCTATTACACTAATAGCTCTCTTTAAGGAGTGCCTTGGTTAAACAAAGATAAACTAGATATTCATATACAAATTTTTCAAATTAGCAGGGTCCCAATTATTGTCTACTGTCTATTTTAGATAAGCCACATCATTTGGGCTAAAGTTTAACCAGGTTAATTATTCCTATCTATTCCAAGATTCAATTTGTTGCATGCATTTGAAACGACGTACTTGAAATAATAAGACTGCACATCTAAAAGCAAGCTACAATTTAGACTCTTTATTAACTGCACTGGTCTTTCTCAGGGTTTCCCAGAGAATTAATGTTTTACAGCCTTTTCCTTTTGAAGAACTTCAATAAGTCACTTTCATCAGGCTTTTTAGTCTCTCCAATGGTTAATAATCATTAGGGCTATTTTTACTTTCAGTTAAACTTTAGTTTTCTAAGTAAAATTAAGTTTTAAAAATAACAAATGTTATCCTTTTTAATCCGAAGTTATGTTTAGTGTTTTTGCAGCTATAATATTCAATCAGCCCCCTAGTTTTCATGTTTTGACATAAATTCTATTTGTAACATGGACAATGAGCTTATAAAGTACAACTTTGAAAGAGAAATCTATATTTGCACAGGATTTTGAAATAATCATTTATTAAATTTGAATTATATTTAAAGCTTCTTTGAATTTTTGAAGCAACTTAAAAACAGTGCTTTCAGTAAATGACCTTAAGAAATATTTTTGATTCATGTTTTACAACCATAATAAGTTTTTCAGTAATCAATAAGGTTTTTATTTATTTGTTTGTTTGTTTATTTATTTAGTGACATTTTCACAGTGACAAGTGAAATGCTTGGGAAGGCCAAGAAGGTGCTCTGTTTGAACCCAGATAGACCTGAGGCCACCCGATCACAGTCACCCAAATCAAAACCTTCCTGATCCCAATCCCAGTAGGCATAGCTGATGAATGGAGCTGACAGCCCTTTTCCTTCCTGAGAGCTTTTTCTTCCCCCATGCAAGTGATGTTGGCAAGAAAAAGCTGAAACAGGATTTATCTTGAGCTAGGCTGTCCCTATTTCCAAAAAAAGTCTGATACAAACTGTACCTAATACTGCAAAGTCACATTAATACTGGGTTCTCTACTATTTATTTCTTTTGACTAAGGATTCTACATCTGCTAGTCTATGAAGCAGGGAAGAACAGTGCTGGATTCTGCTTGGAGGTCTTTTTTGACTCATAATCACCTGTTAGTTCCATCAGGATCCTAACCCGGAATGCTGATACCAGGAATGTGAGCATGATCTAAAGTTCCAAGATGTTGCCCTGGAATGCAATTATTCCTGGAGAAAACCAAGGAAATTATTCTACTGCTTGGCAACTAAATAAATCAAAATGTCCTTGACAAAGTGTAAATAAGATGCAACTGTGAAATGTGAGGACAGCTCCTTTCTGTCCTTATTTGTCAGATTATCTTTAGTTACTCCCTATTTACAAAACAAAAATGAGCACCAGGACAGAAGACCTAAGATTACAAAAGACAGATAGCAATCTTTGTTTAAAACTTGAAATTGTTTAATTTGATTAGGAGAGCAAACTTTTCTCATAATTTAAAGGAAACCTACAACTTTTAACCCATAACATTATTAGGTTAAACATAATTACTGAGAGTGTAGATTCTGCAATATCACTGACAATAGACTATCTAAAAGTAACTTTTTAGACAACAAAAAGGTTGTCAAGATAAGTAAGATGAATTGGCATTCTGAGTCATTAGGCAATCTAAAAATCATAAACTAAGGATACTAAAGAATAAAACCAGTGTTCTTAGAGTACATAAACCTTACATTCAGGGATTAGAATTATAAAGCCAAATAGAATTTACATTGTTGAAGAGATGAGAAGCTTTCCAGGTCAGGAACAAAATATATTACCCTGCATTCACACACAGCATCAGATAAAGGACATGTATAACAACATGGAATAGCTGGCAATGAAATCAGTAGCATTATAATGGGTATCCTTTGGAAATCATCCATATTTTTTTTTTTCTAATGAGGGAAAAAGAACTTCTGAGGCTGCTCTTGTTATGTTCTTGCATTTTTAACAGTTAATCTTTATGAGAACTAAAGTACCAGTGATATTTAGTTTGCTTAACGAAAAAAAACCACATGGATTATGTATTAAATATTTCATTCTAACATCTTCAGCTTCAGGAGACACTCTATACTCACCATCTACAAAGGCTTGGACAGCTTTATCCACATTAAAATCAAACTGTTGTAGCACCAGCACTATTTCATTATTGCTTTTGTTGGGAACCACTGATCTAACTGCATAGATCTGTAAAGGAAAAAGAAAGAAAAGTAAATATCTTACGTATTTCTTATCTATGAATCTTTCGCATGACAGTGAAAAGGTCCTATAAAGCCAATGAATCGACTTTGTTGCCAACAAGCCTAACTGAAGGCATTTCAACTCCTGAAAAGTCATCCTGGTCATCATCTTGACTCCTACTTTAACAATGTGCACATTTCCACAAAGACCTCCTTGTGAGGATTCTGGCAGCAAGTGTGAAAGCCAACTCTGGGTTTGCCATCTACCCTTCCCCAAGCCTACAGATGCACATAAGATACTTTCTGGGAGGAACACAGAATTCTTTCCCGTCTCTGCCTTTCCTACCACAGGCTCATAGGCTCTCTTAGAAAATGGACAGAATTAGCTTCTTTCCTTTGCACGCCTATCTGCACAGTGGAAACAGTCATGTTTATCAACACAGGTAAATGCAGGGTACTGTATTTGTGAGATGATGATCTTAGGCATGACGCATAAAATGCTGTCAAACACATTTCTGAAAACCATACACTTATAAGCAGTAACAGTAAATCAATATATAAGCAAAGAGCTTCAAAAGGTTAAGAATAAACTTGATGTTTAATGAATCATGTACATTTCTTTAATCAAATTTAGCATATATTCATTCTTAGAATTAACTGACCTTTATCTCACAGACTTGCAATTACTACCAGATGTTCTACCTACTTGAGCAACCTATTTTATCCAGTTTTCTGCCAAAGGGATTGCTGTAGCTGCTACTAACAAATTCTTCAATGTTGCATGGTTCAAAGGTAAGAGACTGGTAAAGTACTGTAAAATCTTTATATGTTTTCAACTAGTTACATTATGACCAGAGAGTTTTAGAGTTGAATACAGTTTAGCATAATTGGATTTATGCAATATGGATTATATGGACATGGTATGTGTAATGTGATACTACTCACTGCAGCTAAATTTAATTGAGCTGTATAATTTATCTCCTGATTATATGAGAAAATAAGAAACCTAGTTTATATAGATCTGTATTTAAGAATATTTACTTATAATGAGAAAATAGCACATGTTGTATGATTTACAGAAGGACTGGCATTACAGATTAGAAAGTTGGTTCAAATCTTGACATTAAAAGCCAAATATCTGAGTCTGATCAGGACCCAAGTATTATACATATATTTGGATATTTGTGACTCAAGATTCCTTTGATTGTTTTATAGATTTTAGGTTTTTTTATCCTCCATTAAAAAAGTCCTCAAATTCATGTTCTTTCTCACTTTTTATTTGTACCTTCTTTTTGATTTTTTAAAGCTTTATTTATTTTTATTAGAAAGACATATTTATAGAGAGAAGGAGAAACAGAGAGAAAGATCTTCCATTTGTTGGTTCACTCCCCAGTGGCTACAATGGCCAAAGCTGAGCCAATCTGAAGCAAAGAGCCAGGAACTTCTTCTGGGTACCCATATGAGTGCAGGATACCAAGGCTTTGGGCCATCTTCTACTGTTTTCTCGGGCCACAAACAGGGAGCTGGATGGTAAATGGAGCAGCTGGGACATGAACTGATACCTATATTGGATCCTAGCACTTACAAAGCAAACATTTAGCCACTGAGCCATTGCACCAGGCCAATGCACCTTCTTTAAAATTCCAATTAGGTGAATATTTTTTCAATGTCTATTGTATGATAAAGCCCCAAATTTTGTGGAATTTGGAAACCAAAGAGGTATAAATACACTGATCAGATAACCATACACATTAATATGTACTTACAAAAAACATATAAGTGCTAGAAAATCATATGACAGACTAGACCTGATATAGATATTTCAAGATTTGGAAGATGAATTAAAATCAATGGGTGAGAAGTGATGGCAAAGCATTTGGATTAGAGGGAAACTGAGTGAGGAGAAAGGCACTGAGGAAGAAGGAGTGTGGAGGAAGGCAGAGGGTGGGGAAGCAGGCTAAACACCTCCACCTCTGGTGCTGGCATCCCACATAGGCACTAGGTCGAGCTCTGATTGCTCCATTTCCTCTGTAGCATCCCTGCTGATGGCCTGGGAAAGCAACAGAAGATGGCCCAAGTCCTTGGGCCACTGTATTCAAAGAATGTCCTGGCTTCAGCCCCTTCTAGCTCTGACTGTTGTGGCCATTTGGGGAGTGGACCCACAGTACCAGTCAGCCTGAGTCTTAAGGTTTCCAAAGGTATGCATAAGACCTGTGCAAATGCCTCTTAACTATTCTCATGTTAAATTGTTTTTTTATCATTCAATCATCGTGCTCCTCACCTTCTAGCTTTTTTCCCTAAGCAATCCCATTCCTGGGAATATGTCCAAAAGAAGTGACACATACACATGAGAAAACAACTTGTATCCCTATATTCATTGCAACAAATACACAATAGCAAAGATATGGAAACAATCCAGATACCCATTGAAGGAGGACTAGATAAAGAAACTGTGGTACATCAACTCCACAGAATAGCACTCAGTCATTAAAAAGCATGAAATTCTACCATAATTTACTTATTTTGAAGACAGAGAGAGAGAGCGTGCTGTCATTTGTTTACTCCCTCAATACCCACAGAAGTTGAGGTTGTGCCAGGATGAAACTGGGAACCCAGGACTCAGGCCAGGCTGCCTATGTGGGTTGCAGAGACTTAACCATTTGAGTCCCATTTCCTGTCTCCCAGGAAACTGGAATCTGAAGTAGAGCTGGAATTCAGCCCCAGGCACTCGATATGGAAGGAAGGAAGGCATCCCACGCAGTGTGATCATTATTACAAACTGTAACCCTCAGGAACATTTTAAGCCCACCCTGGTTTAAATTTTATAATCATCACCATCATTATGGCCATATTGGGTATGCCTTTCTAAAAATAAAACACTTGGATATTAATTACATTAACTATATTATAGCTACGTTAGACCAAAGTTTTCAGTCCACACACACAATTGTCTGGACAGTAAAGATTCAGATTCATGGAATAAAGTCAGTATTCTTTGTGCTTCCAATCTCTCTCCTGCAAAACACAATATGTTTTTATTATAGTAAGGCAGAACACATTATATATCACTGCTTGGATAGATGCTTCCCTTTTCAATGTTTCCATTATTCTTTCATGTCCTCCAGTGAAAGAAAAAAACCAAAAAATCCCATGGTCTGATGTGTATAGAAAACATTCTCTCTACTTATCGTTTTGTAATGTCTTAGCCTTGAATGCATCCTTAGAAAACTGTCAATAACATATCTGATAACAAATCTAAGTTTGGATATTGGATTTAACTCCCAAAGGAAGATAACTGAGACAAGTGTTTCAAGTTTTATAGAAATGACAAAAAAAAAAAAAAACAGTTGATGTCTACTGCTAGGGTCTCAAGTAATGCTGAGTTCCAGGTCAATCTCTGTTTTTGCTTTAATCATGGAACTCAGTTAACATGAAGAGAGCAGTACTGTTTCCAAACCTTTGCTATTTATAAGTTCACCACATTAATTTTCCTATGAAATGTCTTGGAGAAAGATAGACAAACCATGTGTGGTCACAGTTGCCATTAAAAACACAGGAAGCTCACTGTGTCAGTATTTATAATTCAGCAGACACACAGGGAGCTTACACATTTTAGGGTAAAAAAGACTTCATTATGAAGCAACCTTAAATATGCGGCATGGATTACCAGGCAGTGGCACAGTGAGGTTAAGCTGAGACAGCCACTGCATTTGGAAATAAAGCTTCTGAGGACCAAAGCTCCTGGAGCGATGGATCAATCAATGCGTGACTAATGGTAGTTTGCATACGGAGAACTCATAAAATTCACGCCCGCAGTGGCTGCTCTGCGGAGGCCGTTTCTGGCACTTTTTCATAAACACATGCACAGCCATTTCCTCCACTGCCACAGCCCCAGCTGCTGCGCCCGCTGCTGCAGCTTTGCACCTAAGCTCACTGTGTGAAGCTGCCCTTGATTGCATCCCAAAAGGGCTGGCATGCCATCAACGCAGTGGTCCATAGGTGTCTGCCAGCAGCTGTTCAGGCTGTGGGGTGACAATAAAGACAGCCAGTTAGTGGTTCATTTAGCAACTGCTTTACCTTCCCCCCAAAATCACATTCCCTTGCTTTGTTTCTACTAATTTAAATCTGGTTGGGCCAATTCAATTTGGAAAGTTGTTTTGCAGGTACCTTCTGAGCATTTTAATCCTGAATCCCCTCACACCGCCTGCCTGGTCCTCCTATCTGGCTCTGCAGGCTCTGTCCTACTCTGTCAGGCCCAGTCTGCTGGCATTTCACCTGCACTGAGCAGCAGGTAGTATGATTTGCATGGATGCTGCTTGGTTTCAACTTCCCACAGCAGGCCACCTCCCCTGCACCTGAGTTGTCTGGTTGAAGAGCTGTGAACAGATTTCCTCCTTCACACTGCGCATTTCTGAGCTTGCCTGTGATGACTCCTTAGAAATTCTTCTTGGCTTACTGATGAGTCATGTAAACTGTGTCTGACTTTCAAAAGTGATTCTGATCAAAGTTTTCAATCCACCTACACAGCTGTGTAATCAGCAAAGACCCAGCACTGCCAAATAAACATAAAACAACTGCTTTTTCTGCCTCCACTGTCTTCCATGCAAATCCATTCTGAGGCTGGCGTTCTTCCTAAAATATGAGCAGATTTCAAAATGTTTGTGGACAAAAAAATGGAATTAAAAAGTAGTTTCACTTTATTGCAAAACATTTCAAATTCATGCACAAGTTTTTTCATGATATGCATTTTCCATAAACTTTCTGAAGACCTTTCTCCCTTCCATAAGGACTTAACAACAAAATGAAGTGATTTACATTCCAAGGTCTTAAGTTAATGGTTAACTGATGTTAATGGCTGATGGATTAGGGGTGGAATTTGGTCTATTAGGCTGGATCTCTTAAAATGATGGGATTGCTTAAGGTTGCTCGGGCAGAGTCACCATGACTTTATGAAGAGATACATATCAGGGGCCAATGAGGTGGTGTAGCACACTAGTCCTCCACTTG